CACTATCCCTTCTTGGTGGGGTCCCAGGAGGGAAGAGCTACGGAGCTAGTATTGTCCCTGCTCTTTGTCTCAGCTGGAAAGGGTGTTGTCTCAGGCTGGTGCATGAGTTAAACTACACATTTATCATTCACTGTTCACTCCTTCTCTCTCTGCTGTTCCTTCCTGTTCCTTAGGAGCCGAGCTCACGCAGTGGAAGGCCAGGTAGAGGATGTGGTTGGGAACCTGCGGCAGGGCACGGTGGCATTGCAGGAGGCCCAGGACACCATGCAAGGCACCAGCCGCTCCCTTAAACTTATCCAGGACAGGGTTGCTGAGGTGAGGCCTTATAGATTCTTCTCCCCTATTTTAGAATGAACAGACAGATTTAGGCATAAGGTATAGAAGATGCTAGTAAGTGACCTTGTTGACCAAGCTGGAGGTCTTGAGAAGGCTGGTTTACAAGCCTCAAGTCTGGTTTTGAGCTCTTGGCCAGGATGCAAAAAAAGCAGGGGTAGACCCTAAGGCAGGGGTGGGGTTGGCTGAGCTGGAGAAGGAGGAGGCCTGGATATCATGGACTTAGGCAGGGGCTTAGGGAGAACCATTGGGATGTCCTGGTTGAACAGACTTTTCCCTGTCTGTAAAGTGGGAGAAAGGATGGTAGAAGCAGGCTTCTGGCTGCCTGTAAGAGTCACTACAAACTTTCAGATTTTCTCTCTTTTTCCACAAAGGTTCAGCAGGTCCTGGGACCAGCAGAAAGGCTGGTGATGGGCATGAGGGAGCAGCTGGGTGACTTCCGAGCACGGATGGAGGAGCTCCACCGCCAGGCCCGGCAGCAGAGGGCACAGGCAGCCCAGGCCCAGCAGCTTGCAGAGGGTGCCAGCCAGCGGGCACTGAGTGCCCAGGAGGTACAGAGAGGGCAAGTTAGCCCAACAAAACATAGCCAGTGAAGGGCTTCAGGATTAACTGAAATTTAGCCTCCACTGCCTTTGTGTAACTGGTTTGGGGATGCTGAAGATGATCCAGTCCAGTTGAGACATCTGGAGCTGTCTACAGATGAGGCGGTCACTCGCCCCTGCCCGAAGCTCATCTATAAAGCAGGTTTCTTACTGTGTTATCTGGAGCTTGTCTCCTTAATCCCTGGACTGGGCACTCAGCTTAGACTAATGATCTGGGCTCCATCCCTATCAGAATTAGACCAGAGAAGATTGAAGAGCTTCTCCCAGTGTCTGAAGTATGCCACCTGCTTCTCCCAAGGTTGGGAATGTTGGCATGCGCAATCCTGGGATGTGACCAAGTTGCCAAATATGCTTTTAAATGACACCTTAACATGAACCTATGATTATGTGTTTGGCATTATGCTTAAAGTGAGATGGGTGGGGGGTGACAGGAGAGAGAGATGGAGGGAGGGGAATGCAAAATTTTAAGACATAATCTGGGGCATAGTGGTTTTATAGGTGAAAGATGTGCATGGGGGATAGTAGGAGGCACCTCATTATTGTGTGTTGATTCAGGTGATGTCAAGTGCTTTAGCTACAGCACTTTTGGACTGATGATGGTGATACTGAGGTGGTTCTACTTTTTTCAGGACTTTGAGAGAATAAAGCAAAAGTATGCTGGGTTGAAGGACCGTTTGAGTCGGAGTCCCATGCTGGGAGAGCAGGGCAGTCGGATCCTGACTGTCAAGACAGAGGCAGAGGAACTGTTTGAGGAGACCATGGAGATGATGGACAGGATGCAAGGTGAGGGGCATGGACTGCTGGGAATCCCTGAAGGCTGATCCCCCACCCAGGGCTGCTGAGGTCTACTCTGGTTGGAGCAGCAGTGCTAAGGGAGTGAGGTCAATCAGGGTTAGCATGTGTGACAGCGCTGTGGGGAATCAGAAGTGCTCACATTGACTTGGCCTGCCCCGAAGAAGCTTGCACTCCAGATGAGGTCATTTTCCCTATCATGTGAACGGTACCCCAAACTGTATGTAATAGCCTGAGGTGGCCTGTGAAAGGGACATGACTAATGAGTTCAAGGAGACCAATTACTTCTGAGAGAAATGTTCAGTGAAGGTGAGAAGGGGGTGAGAAGGAACAAGGCATGTCTTGAGGATGGGACAGGAATCGGCCAACAGGAGAGGAGGTTGACCAGGACCTGTGGGAGAGACATAGAATAGCTCCACGTGGCTGGCCTCCAACCCAGATGAAGAGGGTAGACTTGGCCCTGCATGTGGCAGGGAACAATCCAGAGGTTCTGAATATGGCAGAGACATCATGATAATAGCTTTTAAAATGGTTCTGAGCTTTCCTCATAAAGAGGAATAAGGAATCTAGAAGCCACTCATTCTCTAAGTTGTGATGGTGGGTGGCATCACTGGGCTGGTGTGTTCAGTAAATGCTGCATAGTTTCTCTGAATTTTGGCAAAATCCTCAGTGGGTAGCTAAGTGGACACCATAGAGAAGGTTGGATTGGTGGGTTCATAATGAAGAAATGGGAGGCTGTGGCCACCCACCCATAAAGGGCAAGGAGCTGAACTCGAGGAAGGAACCAGAGCCTGGGTCAGTGCTTTTCCTGGCCTTGCCCATCAATGCTCTGTATGAAGATAAAGAATTTGTTTGTCAAATCTGTGTATGACAGAGAGTTAATACACCAGGCAATTGCAAATGATGAAAAAGATGGGATGAAACCAACAGGATGAAATTAAGAAAGGATAAACCTTCCCTCTGGCCTTTGTGGGCCTAGACCACAAGTACAGCTCAGGAGAGACTGGCTTCTCAGTGGCTCATGTCACAAATTGTTACTCACCTGAGAAAGACCCAAGAGTTCTGAGTAACTGCAGGCTTGTTTTGAAGCAGCAATGTCTTGCTATTACTGAGAGCTAATAAACACAAAGCAGCCAAAGTAAGGGGGATCAGTAAATGCTTAGGGGTGATATTCAAACTACTTAGCAACTGGTGCAGCACATACCCACCAACTAGAATAGTTTCAGGTCATAGCATTGGAATGGACATTTACCTACTTGAAAGAATTTACTTTAATTGGAAGATAATGGTGAGGATTATGCATGAAGGAGGCCTTTGGAAATGGGGCCCTGAAATGGAACAGCAGTAATATAACCACCACTATGGATGTATTTCAAGATTTGATCAACCTGTAGGCCCATGTGGATGTTCACTGGCTGACACTGTCTTATGTTCTCCTTCATAAGGGATATTGACAAACCTGCACACATCAGGAAGAGAGTGACTGGGGTCACTGGGAACAGAGGGAGGGACGCAGCAATTGTACCAGATGAGGAATGGAGACCTTTAACCTGGAGAAAACGAAGCCTCAGAAATGTGTGGGACTTCCATGTGGGAGCAGAGCAGATATATTCCTAAATACCCAGGAGACAGTCTTGGGACAATTGGGTGGAAGCAAGAAGTGGTTAGATTTTAGTTGTCTGAGAAGAGGACTTAGCAAATAATCAGAGCTGCCTAAAGTTGGAGCCTTGTAAGGTAGTTGTGCTCCCTCCCTATTTTTGGTGAAATATAGGCTAGGGGAATGTGGTACAGGGGACTCCTGCCTAGGGGACACAGGCCAGTCTGGGTCATTTTTCAGTGTTCTTCAAGCCTTCACATATAATCAGAAGGGACCAGGATGGGGGTGGGGTAGGAAGAACTAGATTAATCTGGGGGAACATTTTGGCGGGGAGAGTGGGCAAGTGTCAAGATGCCTACTTAAGTGTTACTGGTAGGATGGCTCCTGTCCGGGTCCAACAGCATTGGGCTGCTAATCTTGGTATCAGTATCCTTGCCCCCATCAGCCTGGTACAACTGAGAGAGCCTAGAGAAGACAAGAGGGGTGAGGGGTTAGGGGATAATCAGAATTGGGGGTCTCCAGGACTGGAGAGAGGGGAGAGGCTTCAGTGACCGCCACCTGGAGGCCAGCCTCTGCCGAATTGGTTCTCCTGCCCATGCTGCCTCCAGGCAGGGGGAGGAAGGGGAAGGGATGGGAGTCTTTGGGTATCTCACCATCCACTCCTCCTCCCCACATTGTTCCATCTGCCTCAGACATGGAGTCGGAGCTGCTGCAGGGGAGCCAGGCCATCATGCTGCGCTCAGCAGACCTGACAGGACTGGAGAAGCGCGTGGAGCAGATCCGCGACCACATCAATGGGCGTGTGCTCTATTATGCCACCTGCAAATGATCTCCAGCTCCCTTTGCTTCTGGGGAGGGGGCAGATCGGGTGGAATGTTTTCTGACTCCAGGAGACTTGGATGCCACCTGTGGCACACCTGGACCACCCAGGTGGGCAGCAGGAAGAGCCTGCACTGATGGGATGGATAGAGGTGGTATAGGTGGGTCTGTCATCATGCCTGGAAATTCCCAAGTGGAGAGACCCAAACTGGGCAATGTCTCTGTCCTTGTCCTCTGTTGTGACTGAATCCTGGACCAACACAAAAATGTAATGAAAAAAGATGTGAAATGAAAAGTCCAATAAAAATCTTTGGAAAGGAACTAGAAGCTCAGGGAGGGAAAATGGTCTGTCTTCCCATTCAATAAACTTTTGTCATTTATTTCTGACTCTCATTGGAGTTCCTATGAGCTCAAGACCGTTGAGCTGCCCTACTTGCTCAGTCTAGCTTGCTCATCACCTGTACCTAGGGAGACTAGGCCCTTTTGCTTCAGGACCGGATAGACCTCAACCTTGGGAGGCCAGAGGAACAGTTCCCACCTTTGAACAGCAATCCAGCTTCTAGTTATAGATGTGGAAATAGAAACTCAGAGCCGGAAGTAATATGGCCAGATTCACACAGCTCTCAAGAGGTAGGACTTACATTAGGATTTATGTCTCTAGGGATCTCAAAGAGATCTCAAAGAGTATGTGCCGTGTGTGTGTGTGTGTGTGTGTGTGCGTGCAGTGCACACATGCACACATGTGCACATGTGCAAATATGGAATGGCATGAATATTTGTGTGCTAACCACAGCCTAGGTACAGTGCTAGGCATCTTATCTACATTAACTTCTTGATCGTTATTAATCATTTTATTTATTTATTGAACACTGTGTTGGACACATTTGCATTAGCTCATGATGTAGGTGGCACTGTTATTCCCATCAGACAAATGAGAAAACCAAGGCACAAAAGGCAAGGAACTCACCCAAGGTCACAGAAGTGGCAGAGGAGGGTAGAGCTGGGCCTCAAACTCATGTTCTTCTAATACAGCCATTAAGAGAATGGACACTGGAGCCAGGCTCTGCAGAACCTGCTCCTGTTGTTGTGAATGGGGTAGCTCATGTTTGTTACTAGGTGCCCGGCACACTGCCGGCTCCTGATACACACCAGCCCTGATTGCTCCTTCCGACCTGACCTGCAGCTGTCCAGGTACCTTCCACTCCAGACAGGCTGAGGTCCCTGAGCTGCTTCTGCCTTTGAAAGGATAAAATGAAGCTTTGTAGAGAAAAATATGTCCATTTTATTGAGCACAACAAGGAGCATGAAGCTGGAGGGGGTGGGGCGAGAAAACTATGCAAGGACAAGAACGATGCACTGGACTTCCAGGGAGGCAGGATTGGAACTCCTAGCTGAAATGAAAATAGTCAGCTTCCAGTCTACTTAATTAGGGTTGTGTGGGCAGGATGATGGGTCCTTGCAGCCCCTAGTCATGGATTTCTTTCTAGTCCACTTTGGAGGGTGTAGCGCTGCGTTTAGATTGAGGTGGGGAGGAGGGGAGAGTCTGAAATGTTCTGGGAGTGGGCTGGCAGGTCTCAGTGCAGTGGGGAGCTAATCCTGGAGTTAAGGATTAGAGCTTTGAGGCCCCCCTGGGAGCTGCCTGGTGTTCATGCAGATGGGCAGGCAGCTATGACAATGAGCCCAGTCTGGCCAGGAGGCCAGAGGAGACTGGAGAGGCAGGAGTGAGTGTGTGCAGAGTGGGGAGTCTGAGTAGAGGCTTCATATGGCTTTGCTTGGAGAAGGTGGCACAGCCTGGCCAGTCCACTAAGCTTTTCACGACAAACAATACAGACCCAGGCGAGCACTATCTACGCACACTGCACAGAGCCACGGCACGTAGGGTGTATGGAGGGGCAGAGAGCAGACAGGTCAGGGAGACCTGGAAGCCGGCAGATGCCGATCCTCCTGCCCACAGCTTCAAGGAGCCTCCTCAGGTCTTGGGACTTCCTCTGGGGCCACTGTGAGGGTCTGCCCCAGGCGGCGGCAGGTTGCTGTTCCAGATCAGAGCCCCCTCCTGCCAGGCCCTGCGCCACTTGTTGGCCTTCTGCCCTCTGCAGGGTAGATGCCAGGTTTGGACGGGCAGAGAAGAGTTGGACATGTTCCCTGCAAAGGAAAGGTGTTCAGAGTGCAGGTGGGGCTGCTGTCACTGTCCCCTCAGAACCATCATTTAAACCCTGGGCTGGGGCTTTCCCTCTGGAATAGAAGCCCTCCCTGAGCCCTGCATCCGGGTTTCCCAGCCTCTAGGCCTCACCTGAAAACTATAGTAACACAGGCCTGGACTCCAGGGATCACATAATGAGACAGACCCCAGTCTGCCCTGCCCGGCAGTGGGAACTGCCACCAGCTTTAACTGGCACCATGACCTCTGATTTGAAGTTCCTGGAAAGGAGACAGCAGAGGCCTTGAATTATTTGAGGGAGGAAGAAGGAAGAGCTGTGGGTTGGGGGTGGGGGATGTTCTCTGTGCCATGGCATCCGCCCAGCTCTCCCTTCATGAGCTCCACAAAGTTCAAGCTCCTGTAGAGAAGACAAGACAACCCGCGTTCCTATCCCTTTCCTCCCCAAACACGGAGGTCCTAGAAACTCAGGGAATCTAATGCACACCCCCACATACACCCAGTTTTCTGTGAGCTTTTATAATCTCTGTTGCTTCACCCCAGTGTCTCTGTGGGGCAGGCTGAGCAGGTCAATATGCTTCAAACAACCCATTTTGTAGCTCAGCAAGCTAGAAAGGGAGACACTCACTAGTTGTCCATGGCCTCACAGTGAGTGAGTGGTAGGGACAGGCCTAGAAGCAGCCCCTTCCCCCCAACCAGGCTCTTCCCACTCTCAGAGCTGCCTTTGAGCAGAGAAGAGGCCTTGTTATTAATTTCTTTCAGTCCTTTTGCTGGGGTTCTTTCAGACCGGTTGAGCACAGCTAGGGCTCTGTTGTTGGCTGAAAATACCTACTGTTTTTTGTTGGCCTTTTTGAGGAGTGTGGGCTCCGAGCAGTAGGAAGACTTTCCCTTGTTCCCAATGCTCAGGCAGCTGGAGCAGCAGCCACAGGGCCCAGTGGCTAGAGGCCCCTGGTGCATGGGCACAAGGCTGCTGCTGATGCGGAGGGAGCCATTGACCAGACAGTTGAGGGACCTGCCACCGGGGACCACAGACTGAGGTCCGTGCTGGCAGGGCATCTGAGTCAGTGTGGGGAGTGGGGCGCTCTGGTCCAGGGCTGGTGCTTCTGTGATGGTAATCTCAGGGGAGCCAGGTCTAGAGACTTCTGAGGCTTGCGTGGCGGGTGGCCGGTTCTCGACCTCGGGGCGGGTGCCGGGGCTGTGCAGGTTCATATGGAGCTTCCGCATGTGGTGCACCACGGCGGCTGCGTTGAAGGCTTGCTAAGGAGACACAGCATCCTTAGAGCCCCAAGGGGCTCAAGAGTGTTTCCTTTCCCGGTGGCCTCTTGAAGCCAATGTGCCCACTTATCATTTAGGGGGATCAGGGGCTCTCTATTGCCTGAAGGGATGCCCTGAGGTAGGCTCTTCCACTAGCCCCCACCTAGCCCAGCCTCCAGCACCTCCCCTGCTCCCCACTCCCCAGCAGCTTGCACACCCCCTGCAGAGGACAGCTCACCCTCCACTTGCTCTTGGCAAAGTTCTTCTGGATCTGGAGGCTGACAGATGGGTAGATGTCCCGGTGGAGGGCTGTGTTTCCATTGATCCTGTGGATGCAGGAGGGGTCCCTGGCTACTGGGTAGCTGTGGACACTCAGTCAAGGGGTGGGCAGGGGGCTGTGAAGGTAGGTCCAGGTTCAAGCTGAGTAGAATGCCCCAGGAGAAGGCTGATTCACAATAGGAAAGGGCTGGAACCAGGGCTTTTCTGCTCCCATTGGGCAGGTCATTATGGGCTTATACTTTGGTAAAACTAAATATTTTTAGAGCAGGGTTGGTAAACTATGGCCTGTGGGCTAAATCTACCCATTGTCTGTGTTGTCTAGTCTGGTCCCACTGGAATGCAGCCATGGTTATTCATTTAGGTGTTTTTGTGCCCAGTAATCGAGTAGTTGCCACAAAGACAGTATGGCCAGCACAGGCTTTACAGGATATATTTATGGACCCCTGCATCACTGGGCACTTGTGACATTACTATGCTTTAGTTCCAAACCTTGCTTGCAACTAGCTCCTCCTGAAGCCATCCTCAGTGAGGCCATCTGATACATGATGCCCTTTCCCCTCCCCTTAGTCTCTTACTCACTTGTATTCCACAGACACTTGCCATGTGCACAGCACTAGGACAATTACTAAAGGACCCAGAGAAGTGAGAGAAATGAACCCCAATCCCTAAGAGCCCACAATCCAGGGGTGTGGTGGTGTTTCATGCCATGGACCAGGGAAGGTGACAGTAAGCTGCATAATTAATAAAGGGGAATGAGGAGGTCTGCATGGATTGCAGGAGTCACAGACTTCTGGGAAGGGATCCCGACTTTCAAACATGCAACACAGAGGGCAGGAGGCAGGACATTCTCAGAGGTGGTATGATCCAAAAAATAGTTAGGAAAGAGCTTGGACGAGAGGGTAGAAAAGGACAGGAAGAGAAGTATAACTTTAGGTCTATCTGGAACAGAAGGTGGTGTGTAAAAATCTTGGGAAATGAACATGGAGATAAAGGGTCAGATTAGGGAAAATTTAGAAAGACCAAGAAATTTAAGCTCACTGTGGCAGGAAATGGGAAGCTACTTCAAGTAGCTTGGGAAAAAAATTCTTCACATGGAACAGGTTTGATCTTAGAGTCAAATGATGTTCTTAAGAACATGAGACGGGGAGGGCGGGGCAGCTGGGGATGTGGCTCAAGAGGTAACGCGCTTGCCTGGAATGCGCAGGGGGCTGGGTTCGATCCTCAGCACCACATAAAATAAAAATAAAGATGTTGTGTCCACCGAAAACTGAAAAATAAATATTAAAAATTTTTCTCTCTCTCTCTTTAAAAAAAAAGAACACGAGAGGGTTTTCTTTTGAGCAACTAGTACTGAGCACTGCACCACCTGGGAGTCACCAGGACACCCAGGGCTGCTGAATGACAGCGCCTGCTGTGTCTGCCTCCAGAATTGACTGGATAACCCAGCTGCCACTCCTGGGTCAGAACCTGCTTGATTAAATGCTATTTGCATCTCCACCTGGACTGATGAACAGTTAAGTGCTCCTGGATGTCTCCACCGTCAGGGGCTCAGGGCAAGCCAGTTCCAAGAAACCACCATGTGGATGAGTCAGGTGTCTTTGGGAACCACAGGATGAGAATTGAGGGTTCACGCTGTTTCTCACTCACCAGGGGTGCCTCAAGGCCTTCTCGCAGGTGTACCGCTCATTTGGGTCCTTCTCCAGCAAGTGGCAAATAAAATCCTTGGCTAAGGGGAGCAATTAGACACAAGACAGCTAAGGACCAGATTTCATGACTGATGTAAATTCACTTCCGGGCTGGTGGGTGGCAGTGAATGCATCTTTAGCTAATCTTCCAAAGAGGCAATTTTAAGAGTCTTAAAAGAGGAAAAAAAAAATCCAAACCACCTGATAACAACCCACTATAAACTCCCAAGAAGAGAGGCTCTGAGCTGCGTCACCCACACAGCACCGCAGAAACCTTGCTAGTCATGAGGCACCAGGGTGCCTGCACTCCATGTGTGCATGCATTTGCACAGATATATGGGCCAGCACTAGCACATGGGCTCACACGTGAGTGCTGGCTCATTCCATTTCTGATCTCCACTTCACAGACACAACAAGCGTGTATGATCACCTTCTCATATGAACAGACATTGCGTGCCCTGTCCTGGTATCTAAGTGCTTGGTTTTGCCACAATTGGCCTGAAACTCTTCTCTCTGCCTGACTCTGCCCTCCCAGCCTCTCATCTAAAGTTCACCCTTTTTCCCGCCCCTCTCATCAGACACACTGTTTCCACCTGTAAGAAAATAAGAGCATAAACCTTAAATAGTTTATCTGGACTTTGAACCAGATGAAGATTTCTTTACTTTCCCTGGTAGCCTGTTTTATAAGATCCCCGGGGACTTGGAAGAACCAGGACTGTCATCCTTTGTTAAGATCTTTTCTCTTGGCAGCCTCTGCCTTGAGCCTGTTATCTTGTCCTTCACACCCTCTGGCCTTACCTGACTCAGAAATGTCATCCCAGAATGGAGACTCGAACTCATAGTAGCCTTCTTTGATCTTCTCAAAAAGCTTCGACTCTGTTTCTTCATAAAAAGGAGGGTACCCACACAGCCTGCAGCGGGACAGGAAGGAGGTACACTACTGAGGTACACCCCATCCTCCCTGGGTCAGTTTCTCTCCTACCCTAGTTCTCACTGTACTCACGAGGGTGAGGGCATAAGGGTCTTAAACCAGCACTATGACAGGATGTGGATCTACCTCTGATTCAGCAATGACACAGGTCCCATAAAGACTATGTGCAGGAGCCCAGGCCTGACCTGGCATCCCTGGTCTTTGTACATTATGTCCCCCAACCCTTACTACCTCTCCCGGTACTTCCTCCGACTCTTGGATGCCCTGTACAAAATATCTTTGAGAAGGCATGTGGAATGTCCTCCTGAATGTGATTTTCATGAGGTATTTTTTTAGGCTGCTTATTCAACATAAACTGAGGAAATAGAGAACCGAACCCACATTAAGGGGTAAATGTCTAATAGCGGATTATTTTTCTTAAGAGCAAAGCCTGCTACAGGCAAGGATAGATGTGGGGAAGAGGGGGTGAACAGGTCAGGAAAGGGAGAGCCCTAGAATATAAGGAGAGGAGCAAAAAGCAGAGGCCCTGACCAGCTTTACTCAGTCTATGGTTTTGCCCTGGGAGACTAGGTAAGGGAGAAAATTGAGATGCAGTGGTGCTGGGTCCACCTGGGCTCCCAGTCTGGCTTGACCTCTTGCTGGTTCCAGAATGGGACTTGGCATATTTATATGCAACAAATGGAGGTGGGTGCAGGAGGAGGGAGCACCAGGTGGTTGAGCAGTGGGTGCGTGCTGAGCTCTGCTTCATAATGTGCTGGAGATTAGGACCAAGCAACCTTTGGAGTTGTGTGCATGAGTAAGCATGCATATGTGTGCATTCGCACACGCACTTGCTTTGGAGGAGGAACTGAGATGGGGAGGGGAAGAGAGGGGTGGGCAGGCTTCAAGATTTCCTAAGGTCTGAGCCAATGCCAGCTTCTACTCACAGTATGTAGGTGATGACGCCAATGGACCAGCAATCCACAGCCTTGCTGTAGGGTTTCTGGGCCAGCACTTCCGGAGCTGCAGCAAACCAATGTCAGAGTCAGGGCTGGGGGGCGAGAGAAGAGGGCTGTGGAGTGGGGACTGGAGGTCAGGAAGAAGCTTAGAGAAGGGAACAAGGGTAGTTCAGGGGATGGTATTGTTTCTGTGAGACTGAAAACTCTCCAAGAGCAGAAGCTGTATTTCCCCTAGAAAGACTAAATCCTCCTATGAAGAGAGACTGTGCCTCCTCCATTGGACTGGGAATTCCCATGTGACAGGCCCTATGACTCCTCCATCAGACTAGGGATCTCTGGAGCTAGACCTCCCCTATCATATATTGAGTATTCTCTGAAAGTAGGACCATTGTCTTCCCAGCCAGATAGGGGATCCCCAAGGCAAGGGTTGCATCTTTCCCTTCACACTGGGAGAGCCCCAGGTAGGTACTGGGAGAGAGCTCCCACTTTCCTGTGGAAAACAGAGGCAGAGTCTCCTCATTAGTTAGGAGGCTCCTAGAGAGCAGACAGTAACTTTCCCATCTGAGTACCTTCTGAGAGCAGGGGCTTTGCCCGCCATGAAGACATGGACGAGGTCTATCCTTTGACTGGGAGCCTGGGGCAGTAGAGAGCTGCCTTCTGTATTTATCCTAGATACCTCGGCTTTGTACCCACTGGAACTCAATATCTTTTGGAGTAATTGACCTCCCTTTTTTGGGAGAGAGTAGGTTCCCACTCTGCTTCCCATTTTCTAATTGCAAACAGATGATGATTGCCTAAGAGGAAATGGGCAGGAGTGGATATTCTGTCTCAGCTTCCTCCCCGAGAGATCCCAGAAATGCTTTCACCAGGCACCCTGCCTGCTCTTACCTTTTCAGGATCCCTAGAAGCCCAAAGGTCTGCTTGGATGGGATGCCCCACCTATGCCAGTTCCCCAGAGTGCTTCCTTGGGTGTAAATTTAAGGGGCCCATAGGTAGGTTCTTTAGGCCCAAACTCAGCATCCCATGCTTCTAGGCTCCCCTCACAGTTGGAGGGTGAGGTTTCCTCTAGAATCCAGAAGGATCGGGGCTAGTGCTCAACCCCTCAGCTCTCTACTGATCTTTGGGTTTGTGATCTTGTTTCTGGTTTTGGCCCTACTGGAAAGACCTGTCTGCAGGGGTGACAGTCAAAGTATAGCTTGAGGGCTGGAGAGGGCTTAGGGGTAGACTGTCTTTAAAAATGTCAGATTTGAAAGAAGTAGGGGTAGTTCTGGAGATAGATGGATTGGCTGGTCCTGAATCTCGTAAGTGAATGCTCTACCTGGGTAACTCCAAAGGGGAACCCTGACTCCTCACAATCACCCCTCTCTGTGACTTACATCCCTGTGGTTGAATATAGTCAACTAGTCAACTTCTTTCCTGCCTCCAGACTCACCCACGTAGCCTGGGGTCCCACAGGCTGTGGACATGACACCACTCTGTTCCATCTTGGACAGACCAAAGTCTGTGATCATGATCTTCGAATTCTCTTCAGGGGTGAGGTACAGCAGGTTTTCAGGCTGCAGGAGAAGGAAATGTGTGGTATAGGACACAGTCCCTTGAAACACATCTCTCTTTCTTTCTCTTTAATATAATTTCTTAGGAAGCTCAGCCCTGGGCTCCTGTCTCTGAGGCTAACTCATCTTCTCCCATTCCTCCTTCCTCCCTTTAACTTGTGTCCTCACTTCCGTACCCCAGAACTCTGTGTTTTCCTTATGGTCCTGACTTTGCTTAGCCTTGTAACCCTTCTCCCTTCCCTCCCAACTACCCCCACGACCATCTGATTTTTGAGGAAACCAACCTTTGGTTAATTCCTCTGACCTCACCAAAGTCTACCATGATGCCTGGTCCCAAATAGACCCTCAAAAAGTATTTGTTGCTCTTGATTTCACTGTGACCGGATTCAAGAAATGTGTGGAATATTTTGATACCTTAAATAGGGTAAGGCACAGTCCAAGGTTCAGGAAAAACCTGAGGTGCAAATTAACAACCATTGTTTAGCCACCCAAGACTTGTTTAAGGAATCTGAGGGCAGAAGAGGCCTTGGGAGTCCAATTGGTCCAATCCTCTTTTTTTGATAGCACCTCGACTTCTCACAATTCAGGTGTCTTCTGAAAGGGTCCTTCCCTGTTTCCCACTGGGTGCTTAGGCCTTGGCACCTTTAAGTCTCTGTGGACGATGCCATTCTCATGGAGGTATTTCACTGCTGACAAGACCTGCTGGATCACCAGACTGGCATCCTTCTCTGTGTAGACGCCTCGCTCCAGGATCCGGTCAAAAAGCTCCCCTCCAGAAACACTGTGGGCAAAGGGTAAGAACAGGAATCCAGTTCTTAATGCAGGTCAGTGGGATGCCAGTGTGTTTGCTTTGTGGCCAAGGGAGATACAGCTAAGACACAACAGGAAGGTGCCCAGGAACTGTGATTAGAAGGGGAGGGGAGGCCCAATCCAGTCTCTGAACAACTCCTTAGGTGCCTGGTGTGATGTAACTAGGGAATCATTTCTCTGAGCCAAGTTTCTCTCTGGGAGCTTCCTTTATGATGCAAATGTCCCTGTTTGGGGATGCAAAAGAAGCCAATAATCCCTCACTGTGCACACATTCCTTATCTGTCTTCCTTCCTGGCCGGGGACACAGGAAGCCATTATGAGAGAAGCAACACAGAAATTGGGCAAAATAGGAAAGAAAGGTTTGAAAAATGAGACAACTCTGCTTATATCAGGATCTCGTTCCTCATTTTGGGAAAATGGACTACCTAAAGCTGGCATCATAGGTGGGGCCATAGAAGTATTTCGAGACTCAAATGGCATCATGTCTCAGGATACAGGGGGCTTAACAGCAAGTCCAACCTCCCATCTCTTGAATACCATTGACACCATTTTTGTCTGAAAGTTTTTTAGTCTGTATTAGAACACATAGTTGTCAGAGAACTCACTACCTCTGATGACAAAGTGTTTGGTTTCTTAATATTTCCATGTATTATGTTGAAACCTGATGACCTTTAATTCTTTCCAGAAGACACAGATTCCACCCACTGGGACCACACAGAACAAGCAAAACATCTTTTTACAAGAATCGTTTCAAGTATGTGGAGCTGGTGAAATGCTCTCCTGAGACCTCCTCTTCTCTGGGAATGAACATCCTGGACTATTTTGAACATGATCTGGAGGTTCTGATACTCTTACCATCCTGGCCCACATTTCCACTGTCACATGTCATTAGTTGTAGCTCTGCACAGCTGATAGCACCATGTAGCAATGGAGGAATAGAATGTATCCAGTCAAACCCATACCATTTTGCTCTCCTTGTTTCTGTCTTTGGGCTCTGGGCTCTGTGATAGGAACTGGAGGCTCCCAAGAAAGATGTTCTTTGAATACAGCTATGAACACCTGACTATGAATGGCCTGGGTCCTGGAGTGGTGCTCTTAGGAGGCTTGGTGGCTCCCAAGTGACATCTAAACCTGCCCACCTCCTTGTCTCCTGTTAGCCTGTAGAATACCTTTGTGCTAATCTTGTTGAATTGGCCTCCTGAAGGTGCCATGTGGTCCCTGCTCACTGATTATTGTCACTTTGGGCCCTTCCCACCTCTATCCCTTGACTGCCTGCTTCTTCTCTTTCCTGGGCTTCAGTGAGCCAATGGTTAATTAAATTAGTGCACTGAAGTTTCTGAGGAGTTGGCTCATCAGTCAAAACCCATGGTGCCCAGCCATACTGAGTTTACAGAGTGGCGTGTATCTATGGGAGTTCTGTGTCTGCCTTTTAGACACCATAGAGGTGTCTTTGAACCCAAGGCTGTGCCGTCGGGAGCTCTGACCAACCCACATGCAGTCACCATCAGGCAGAACTCTATGTGGATATGACAGCAACAGAGACCTTTCTAATGACATTCTATTTCTGTCCTACAGATGGATACACACAATACAGTTTTTAACTCTGAGTGGATCTCTTTTGAGAAAGTCTTTCTTTATATTGAATTGAAATCTATCTACCCGTGCCTTCTACTTCTATAGTAACTTTACCCTGAAATGATGTTAATACATTTGCTATCCAGTTGATTGACAAAGACTTGTCAAAATGGACTCCAGTCATGGCGTCAGAGAAGGGTTCTGGTGGCCCATGCTGTACCTGGCATTACCCCTTCAGTTGCTGCATTGTGGAGAAGTCACAGAACGTCTCCGGGAGGGATAGGGAGGCAGAAGAGCACAGACAGCTCTTTTCCCACTTGTAGGAAATATTGTGATGACAGGAAACCTGTTCTGGTACATACCAACTCAATAATCAGCCCCAGATTTACTCCTCAGCTCACACAGCACGCCTATGACCAGGGGTGTACTGACTCCAAAAGGTGTCTTGGCAACTCAGAACCTCTTGGACTAATTCTGCTTTTGTTTTTTAGTTGCCATGCTCTCTCCACTGACCAATCTCCTCTGAGCCTCCCAGGCTCCAACAGGCCTCTGTGGAGGAGGGGGGTCACCTTTCACTTACAGCTGCATGACCAGGTAGTAGTGAGTGCTGCTCTCGTAGATGTCCTCCAGGGTCACGATGTTCTCATGCTTGATCCTGGGAAAAAGTAAGCGTCATGGTCAAAGGTATGTGGTTCAGGTGGTCTGGACAAAGAATGCAGCCCCAGCTCCAGAGAGTCCGCTAGACACTCTTTATGGCAGTGTTTAGAAAGACGGGTTCCTGGGGGAGCCTTTGTAAGAAGTCTGCTGTCATAAAGTATTCCCAGAGAAAAGATTCCCAGGGTGGTGTTTGATCCACATTGATTGAATGAATAATTGATTGTTGTGCTTTCAGGGAACAAATGTTTCAGTGTTACTTCAGGATTTTTATTAAACTTTAACAAAAGACAAAGTTTAAAGAGCCTAAAAAGGGTTCAGGATGTAGCTCAATGGTAGAGTATGTGCTGAGATTTTACTAGGATGTGAGGCTCTGGGTTTGATCATCAACTTCAAAAGAAGGAGGAGGAGGAGAAGAAGAGGAGGAGGAGGAGGAGGAGGAGGAGGAGGAGAAGGAGGAGAAGGAGGAGGAGGAGGAGGAGGAGGAGGAGGAGAAGGAGAAGGAGGAGGAAGAGGAGAAAAAGAAGAAGGAGGAGGAGGAGAAGGAAGAGGAGGAGGAAGAGGAAGAGGAGGAGGAGGAGGAGGAGGAGGAGAAGGAGGAGAAGGAGGAGAAGGAGGAGGAGGAGGAGGAGGAGGAGGAGGAGGAGGAGGAGGAGGAGGAGAACAACAGTGGAGGACTAAGGGGTACCTAAGAATTGAGGAAGACTAAAGGGTTCCCAAAGCCTGGTTATTCTACAAAATGGATACCCGTCTCTCTTTCAGAAACACTGCATGGAGAAAGTACAACAGCAGGAGAGGTGTAGGTGAGCTGAACTCCCTCTTGGGTAACCATGGTAGAAGTTGTTGAAAATTTATTATTCCAGGATGTTGTGAAAAACAAGGAAGATACTTATTTTCTGTGTGATGTCCCTTAGATCAGTAATTCTCAACCATGGGATATTTTACCCCTCAGGGGACATTTGACAATAAAGACGTTTTTGATAATCAGCGTGGGATGTGCTACTGGCACCTAGAAGGTGGAGGCAGAAATGCTGTTGGACATCTGACATACTTGGGACAGTCCCCAACATAGCTCAGAATGATCTGAAGTGTCAGTCGTTCTGGGAAACCCTGCCCTGGGTGAACTTTGTCTGTGATTACTCAGAGACTGAGTCAAGTGGATTAATCATGTTAGCTGAGGGGCTTGGCTTTCCAGGCAGCAATTCTGGGCATGCCCGGGAGGAGGAATGTCTTCAGCAAGCTTTACTCATGGCTGTGCAGCACAGGGACTAAGTCCTTAGAACCTGGGCCTGCTGGGCCTGAGTTCAGGTCCGAATCAGGCACTTACTAATTGGGTAACAGTAACTAGCTTTCTCAAATCTTCTAAGCCTCATTTTTCTTGTCTGACAAATATATTTCTCTCATAGGATAATAGTGGGACTAAAAGAGATAATGCATCAAAAATGCTAAGTATAGTGCCTGGAGAAGAGCAAATACATAACCAATCATATCCCTTTGATTTAAGCTAGTGTTAAAAACACAGACCTGGTTGCACTAATGTTTCTCTCTACTTAGTGACATTTGTCCAGTCTCAGATCATCATTCATGCTTTTCTTACCGGTCAACTGCAAACCCAATCACCTTTCTTTCTGAACTGTCTCTTGCCTCCAGTTTTCTTGTTCCCATGTGGTCCTGCCACTACCTTTGCTTTTCCTCACTCCATGCCTAGACTGTTGTGAAAGTCTTATCATTGGTCTCCCACCCTCTGGCTGGTCTCCTCCAACTCATCCTCCACCATGCTTCTGAGGGATGGCTCCCAAATACTCCTCTGATCATGTGACTCTTTAAAATCCTTTTGGGACTTCTCTCTGCCAACAGAATAAAGCTGATATTCTTTATCAAGGCATCAAAAGAAAATCCTTTGCAATTAGGCCCCATTTCACATCTTAGTTTCATCTCCTTTCCCTTGATGTTACTCATTTCAAATTTAGGGACTTCTAATGCTCAGTTTTCCCTAGTAGCCCTTGAACTCTAAGATTCTATGCTCATGTTTGTGCTACTCTCAGCCTGGACTTCCTTTCTGGACCTCCCCTCTTGCCCTTATAAAATTTTACTCATCCGACAATTTCCTTCTTTGAAAATGTGCCTAATAATTCATGAAAGCCAGGTAGGTAGAACAAATCCTATGTCCTTCACGCCCCACCTTCTGTTAGTGTACCTCCCTTTGGATGGGGTTAGAGTTTGTTATGGGCACTTCTGTCTCCACTTGGAAAATGTGAGTTCCTGAGATTAAGGAATTTTGTCTGTCTCGTCTTTTTGTCCCAAACCCATGTGCCTAACATACTTTTGACACATAGTAGGGGTTTCACAAAGGTTTGTGGTAAGAATCTTATTGTAAACATTTTGTTTTTTTTTAATTGAAACATTTGATGATTTGTTAGTGTCACCAATGGTTACATGACAGTTGGGGTGCTGAACCTGCATTTGTTTTTGATCAAACTGAAGCTAATTTTCGAATCTCATGCTGTCTCCTTAATTATTGATTCTTCTTGGTGCTGGCTATCAATTGACTTTTGTTCCTTTGGGCTAATTACTCTCTGGCCTACATGCAAACACCAACTCTGCCATCAGTGGGTTTGCTAGTCAATTTTCTGGGGAAAAACAAAAAATCAGCCAGGGCAGCTAGCTGTCTGATTTATCTGATTGACCAAACTGACCCATGGTCTCAAAGGGAGCAGTGTCTTTGAGTGTGGCAATATAGCCTAGTTTTTCCCCAAAGTAATTAATGAAGGGCACATTGTGATCCCACAGTTGCAACACCCAACCAACCATAAGAGCCACTCACTTTTTCAACACAGCAATCTCATTCTCCAAGCTGCTGTCCCGGAAGGCAGGTGACTTCTTGATGCACTTCAAGGCAAAGAGCTTCCCAGTCACCCGTTGCTTCACCAGGAAAACTTCTGAAAATGCTCCTCTGGAAGGGGAAGAAGCCAAGAGATAAAACTTAGTTCTGAATGTCTAGAGAACATTCTGGAGGGTATGTGAGTCTCCATTGTCACGGTGGGCCTGGGCCAGCTGCATGGATGGCAGGACTACCTGACATACCAGGATACCTTTTCCTTCGTGGGCCATGTGGGAAGGAAAAGACCCCATTCCGGGTGTAGGCAGGGGCTTTTCCTGTTTCCATAACTGGGGGATGACTTCCAGAGACTCTCCCTCAGCTGTGGCTATTTCTCCACTAAGCAAGTCCATGAAAGAGAGGCCATTGCTGGGGCCATTCTCTTGCAAGAAGGTGCAGTGTGGCCCATTGGAGTGGCAGTGGTAGCAGCAATAGAGGAAAGACTCAGACGTAGTGGGGCAGGGAAGGCCAATGTATTCATTTTAGATGGTGATAATTTCTGAGAACCAGACGGCTGAGCACTTTCTCGTTCTTTCAGTGGGTTCTGCAAAGACTAAAGACAGAGCCCTGCAGCTTCTGGGGTAGACCCTAAAAACAGTAGATGGAACCCAAAGGGAAAACATAGTAGGATTCCAAATTGCAGGCTTCTTCATTTGCAGGGGATCTTCTAGAGACCTGGCCATCGGAATAGCAGGTAAAGGGTGAGGGATGTGGCTCCTTGGTATGGTGCTTGCTTAGCACACAGGAGGCCATAAGTTCGATCCCCAGCACCATGAAGAAGAACAGTAGCTAAGCTGAGGGTGGATACTGGAGCCTGATTGTCCATGTTAGAATCTCAGGTTTGGGGGAGCTGAATACTTAACTTCTATATTTAGTTTCCTCATCTGAAAAGTGGAAACATTGTAGACCCTGATCTGTAAGGTTGGTTGTATAGAAGATTAAATAAATTAAATATGTAAGGTGGTTAGCAGCATTTCTGACATCTATTAAGGCCATATGTGTTAGTCAGGCATGGTGGTGCAGCTTGTAACCCCAGTGACTTGGGAGGCTGAGTCAGGAGGATATCAAGTTTGAGGACAAACTGGGCAATGTTGTGAGACCCTGTCTGGAAAAATAAAAAGGGCTGGGGGTGGGTGGTGTAGCTCAGTGGCACAGTGCTCCTGGGTGTAATCCCCAGTACCCAAAACCAAAACCCAAACTCCATATGTGTTGGATACTATAATTATTCTTAATTTGAATAAAATCATGGAGAATACCTAACTATGCAAGAGGAATGGAATGTAAATGAGGGAAGAGCTGAGCCACGGTCTCCCCTGCCATCTGGGAATCCTGGAATGAAGGCCCAGCCACAGTCAAGCTTTTGCAAGGACTTTGAAAACCTGCATTGGAAAAATACGTGGCACTTCCTGAGTCTGGTTCCTGCTCCTTTGCTGCACAGAGCTCATTTGAGCCTCAGGGCTTGCTTGTGCATTCATTCATTTGCTTATCCCTTCAGCCAAGATTTATTGAGCACCTACTGAGTCTTAAATACTGGAGATAAAAAACGGAGATTCCCATTCTTATGGGGTCTGTAGAACAGCAAGGAGCACAGATAAGTAAGTAATTCGCATTCAGTTTGAAAAAAGGCTATCAGGCGTTCAGTGAATGCTCCTCTAACTGATGGAAGCTTTGTGAGTGAGAATCTAGTATGAGAGAGACACACATGCACATAAAGATGACATATTATGAGACCACAGAAAACCTATACTTAACATGGTATCCTGGGGGCAGTGGTTGGGCAGGTTGTGCACAGTTTCAACAGGTGCTATTCACCTTGTAGCCCATATATATGCTCACAGGATAATTATTACAATATTTTCCTCCCAGAAGACAGAAAGAGTGCTGGGGAAGGGGCACCCTTGTCTTAATTTGTTCAAAATGACCCATTAGGATAGCCAAGGAGCACATAATATATCACCTCCGATTTAAGAATAATCTGAGCTCAGTTTTGAGGAGTGGGGAAGAGTTGGAAGTGTTTCAGGTGGGAGTGGAGAGGAAGCATGAGAGAAAGTGTGGAGGGGCTGGAGGTGTAGCTTGCCTGATTCCCTTCTAGCATTGGCTGAGGGGAGGAGGGACCGTGGAGGTGAGGAATGGCACCATCTGTGAAGTCTGAGGCAGGGTATAACGGAAGGTGAATGAGGATGGCACCAGGCCCCACGGTTGGTTGTGTATAGAAAATGCTCAATAAATACTTGCTGAAGGAATGGGTGGTTTAGTTCATGGAGGGCAAGTTGGGGTCAGGAAAGGATTCGTTGTGTGTTCACATCTTAGAATACACTTTCCTAATCTATAAAATGACAATTGAGCTACTCGGCCTCAAAGATTTCTTCCAGCTGTGACATACTAGAATCCACCTTCAGATTCCTATCTATCAACCTGAACCTCTGGAACCACACATGGATGGTCCCCTGATTTCAGAGCTGGGGCTTGCTGGGGGATGGCATCAAATAAGGGCCTTCAGTATGCCCAAACCCGAGGGTGCCATCCACATGGCACCATCTGCATGTGGGGTCACCTGGAGTTTTGTGGTACTATGGCACTTTGAGAGGGTATTACTGTTGTTCTGTCTCAGGCTGCTTTAGTCCTGCAGGTGGCTCCATTGAGGTGGGGTGAGGCACAGGAGGAGGACTAGAGGGCTTTACCCTGCCACTGCCAGGGTGGGGAGCAGAGAACTAGTTTTGAGCAGCCAAGGTTGCCTGTGTCAGAAGGTAAAACAGGCAGGGAGGGCCTTGTTCTAGGCGATGTAGACAGAGAAGACGCAGAAGAGGTGACATGTCATGGTATTTGTAACTTGTTTATAAATGGTTCAGAGAAATATGTGTGTGCATAAAACAAATGCATCCCTGAGCATCCATGGGGCACTGGTTCCAAGACCCTTTAGGATACCAAAATCTGAGAATGGTCAAGTCCCGTCTATACAATGATGCAGTTTTTGCCTGTAGCTTATGCATCCCCTTCTGTAGACTTTAAATAACCTCCAGATTACTTATAATATCTAATGCAATGTAAATTCTGTGTAAATTGTTGTTATAATATATTGTTTAGGGAATAATAATGGGAAAAAAATCGGAACAGATTTTTTTTTTGGAACGGATGAGAGTTATTTTGTGAATATTTTTGATCCGCAGTTGGTTGGATCTGCACTCGTGGAACTGGAGAATAAAGCGGATCCACTTGTATAAGGAAATGTCAACAACTGTTGGATTTAGGTGGTGGGTATATTGATGTTCACTTCACCTTTTCTTTCTGTTTAAACATATTCACTGTTAAAAGCTGGAGTGATAAGCTCTCAGATGACCCCAGTGTCCCTCGAGGTTTAGCTGTTTCTACAGTAGACCTCGTTGAGCTCCTAGGGGGGCAGCATCTGTCTACTGACAGTCCCACAGCACAAGTTTATAGCAGACGTGGATAAGCTCTCGTCAACCTGGCCTTCCTTCTCCCCGTTTCCCTCCATTCTGGGGATGCTTAACAAATCATTTCTGATTCATTCATGAGCCTTGTCCCTCTCTGCTGCTAACCCCCCCCTCTCTCTAGCTAACTGTGTCTTGGCAAGGGCCCCTGATGGAAGGCCGGCACTCTGATGACCAGCACCACTGCTGAGATCCTCAGGAATGTGGCAGAACCTGGCAATCAGTCTGTGCCAGGAAGACCTAGAGGGCTCTTCTTGGCTATGCCTGGCTCCTCTCTGCAGCGAGAGCAAGGGCATCCGTCCTCATCTGCTGTCTCCTAGCCAAGGCAGAGTGCAGCACACTCGGCCAGGACTGGCTAAAGGGAGAGCTTGCCCCATGAACACTCCTCCCTGCCCAGGCCCAATTAGCCCCGGCTAATTAGCTGACCAGCTGGGCCTCTGAAGAGGTGGGGGCCCATGGCCCCGAGCTGCTGCCCGCCTGCGTCAGAGACTGCAGCCTCCTGGGGGAGAGGCACGACTAAGTGGAGAGTCAGCTCCAGAGAAGCTGTCTGGCGACTGCCAGCTCCGTGATCATCGTCAAGGGGCAAGCACAGGCGCCTGCGGGCTGGTAGGAGTTTGGACAGTGGCAAAGCCCAAGCACTAAAACACAGAGAAGAGAGGAGGTGGGGGCCGCTTCCGGTGTGTGTGGCCCACACCTCTCTAGTCTCAGAAGCCCCTTCTCATTTATCCAAATCGTGCAGTGAGATTGGCTTGATCACTGATGGGGGAAATGTGGAGTCCCAGGAAAGTTCTTGAATCACTGAATCTCCAGAAGTGCTCCCCAATTCCTCTTTTGCCAAGGAGAGAGGGAGATCTGGAAGTATGATGGGGGCCACTGGGTGTAGCTCAGAGGAATGTAGAACCTGAGGGAAAGGGGCTGGGGATCCCTGAGGACTCCAGTGCACTAAGTCATCCCAGGTCTTAAACAAACGTTTCCCTCATGCCACTCGCCCACCCACAAGCCACAAAACTCCTCCTAGGCCCCTTAGAGTCACAGAAGCCTCAGTCCAGTTCACCCATTGCTGCTACCAGAACAGCCCTTCCAACTACCCCCAGCACCTCCCCAAGCCCTCCCAGGGCTCCCACTCCCCAGGACTTACGACCCGAGCACTTCCATGAAGATGAAGGTTTTCCGGATGTTGGTGGTCTGTTTCTTCCAGGAACTGCAGTCATCTTCTTCCTTTCGACCCATCGCCTCCAGAGTTGAAGCTTCTGGGGATGCTTTGTTGGAGGGAGGGAGAGGGGAAAATATTCTGATCAACTCGTTTCTCAAATAAGATGAGAACAGGTTGCAAAAGAATCTAAAATACATCATTTATGTAATGGCCAGAAGGAAGGGTTGAGAGCAAAACACGGATCATTGACAAAAATAAGAGTATTCTCCCCATTGTTTTTTAAAAACCGCTACAACAAATTTATTGAACACCTGCTACATGAGCATCATGCTTGCTACATGATGGAGGAGTCTAGAGTCCTGTAGTGGAACCCTACTTTGTAACCTGTGCGTTAATTGAGGCAACAGTGTGCACAGATCTAGAATAACATGGGGAAACCCACCTCCAGGGATCTGAGATGAGTGAAGCGTTTCCTGTGTTACCAAAATGATCACCAAGATGTTTACTCAGACTACAGAGCCAGCCTGACTCCTTTCTAACTTCACAGCTCTGCCGCCGCCTCCCAACTCTTCCTCCTCCTCCTCTGCTCTACCTGTTATAGCTTAAATAAACGACATTATGTTTCCTCTGCAGCTCCTACAACATCCAGCACAGTGCTGGGTAAACAGTTATTCATTAAAATCTGTATTGAGTTGTATCCTAACTCTGCCAGAATTCTGGATTACATATTCATTCAGCAGACCACACATAGTTATTTAGCACCTACTATGTGCCCACTGCTGGATATGTAACAATGGACAACTTAGATGATGGCCCTGCCCTTCTGGATCTGCCAGTCAAAGGAGACAGGCAATGAGCAAGCAAACCCATGCAGATGTGTTCCCAAGGTGTCGGGGAAACCTGGATGCAGGATTACTGAATATCTGGGGGATGATGAGTAACATATTTCTATCAAAGCCCTCTCCACCCAAACTCCTTGAACTTGACAGGGAAGTAGGAAAATATGTCTAATGACTGCCCCTCTCACACAGTGCCTTCCATCCCCACTTTTAAAAATGCAGAATCTCCAAGGTCTTCTGATAGCCTCAGAATAAAAAGAGAGTTTGTGCTGTCACAGCTTAACATCAGGTGAAGAGCACAGGTTTGGAGGTCAACCTGATTTTGACTCCTCCCTCCATTAGTTCTTGACCTCCTGGAGTCTGACAGGCAGAGATTGCTCAGAGCAGGAAGAACTGTTCAGGATAGGGGGATATCTTAGCCAGATATTCTGCAGATGCTGAGCTCCAAATCCAGCTACTTCCACTTATCAGGCTGCTTGGCATCTGGAATGCACGAATTCCCACCCCACCAGGCAGTAAAAATGGGGGAATAGGAAGGTTTCAATTTGAACTTGTCTGCTCTAGCATATCACTCTTTTCAGGTATTAGGATCTTGCTTAGCTGACCCAGCCTCCAGGGGTAGCTTCTTATTGGGCAGCTGGGAAGTCCTGAAGAATGCAGGGGATTTGGGTGAAGTATTGGATGGGATGTTTAAAGGGGCAAACCTCTGTCTCTCCCTCTGCACAGAGCAACAGAACTGGGGCTACTCCTTTCCCAGGTGAGGGGCGACCAAGAGCCTGGTCTAACTCCTGAGCCCCTGGCTGTGCCCATCACGCCCCCTTCTGGAGCCCGGTGTAACTGCCTGCTCTTCAGGAGGCTCCACCACCTCATTAGCAGATCTGTACTCACTGTTCCTTCTTTCCCATGGCTCTGAAATAGCTTTAAAAACATAGTATTCTTAGCCGAGGCCATGGAAAACATCTTTCCCGCCCACCCCTCCTCCCATACACTGAATCCTAACAATTTAGTTTCATCATCGGAGCAATGTGGAAAACACAGGGACCCAGATCTAACCTCCCCCTCGGTCTCCCAGTGGCTCTTTGTTCCCACCCCTCCATAACCTCAGAGAAACCTCCTCCAGGACCCCTGCCTGGTACAGGTCTAATGGTGGAAAGGGGTGGCGCACGTTCCCTGGCTGCACCCTGCTTCTTTCTGCTAAAGCCCTCCCCCCTCATCTCTTGACTTCTGTAATCTAGGCCCTTTCAGAGGAAAAGAAAAAAAAAATTCTGAGAAGCATGAAGCTCCAATATTGCTCTCATTTGCTTCCAAAGCACTCCCCGCCTCTCACTCTATATCCGGTAACAACTTCCACTGGGTTTCAGAGCTCAGGGGCAGCCGCTGCAGACTTCTCCGAGGCTTAGGGCTGGTTTCACATCCACGGTCCAGGAGATACCATGGACTTGGTGTTCCTGGCTGGTTCAGGCTCTCAGTCCTCAACAGAGGAAGACCCTCCTGAAGGCTCTGAAGACATGGCTCCAGACAAAGAAAATGATCTAATTCATAGGACGATCTTTGAACTGTAGGAGTAATACTCCTTGGTTCAGCAAGCATTCATGGAGTATCTAGTGTATACACACTGGACTAAATACAGACATTCTGGTGCTATGAGCCTGACTTTAAAAGTGCTTACAATCATGTTGCAAAGACAAACCTAAGTATATAGGGGTATAAATAAACAAGGAAACCACAGGCAGTCTGCTTAAAAGACAGAGACCATGTGCCACTCAATTCTGAATCCCCAGTGTTTATTACTGTGCCTGAATGAGTGAATGAGGAAGATGGCCCTGCAGAGTTGGTCAGGGAAGGGTTTTAGGCTTAAGATGACATGGAAGGGCAGTGGGGGTGGAGGCTGCAGATACATTCTTTATATTGCTCTAGAGAGGAAACTAGCAAGAAGATCTGTATTCTGGTACAGAGAGTGGCAAACCCTCTCTTTCTCTCTCTCCCCCCACCCCTACTGTGAGACTTTGCCTGTTACCAGCAGCAGGAGAGGGCAGAAGAGTCATAGAAGGCAGAATTGTCTTGGCTTCTTGCCATCATCATCATTTCACAGACGGAGTACGTAAGGCCTGGGGTGTCCACTTTTTGGTCAGCAGAACTTTGCTGAGACACTTGAAGAGGCCCTTGTTGACTGTTCTACCCAGGCCCTCCCAGACAAGCTGATCCTTTCTTCTGTAATACACATGACCGTCTGACATTCCCCTGCTTGAGGTCAGCATCCTCACTAGAAAGTAACTCCACATGGATGAAGACGGTCTATTTTCTTGTCTTCCTCTGGCTTAGTACAGTGCCTCGCTCCTAGTTAGTGCTCAATCAAAGACCTGGTCTTCCTGGCCTCTTGGGGAGCATTTTGCTGCTGGGGAGGAAACTACAGAAAGAATGTTCTTCCTGAAGGACTGGCAGTGCAGGCTTAGGGTGGATACCTCCTCTAGTGCAGCCCTTACTCTGCTTCTGGGGCAGGTCGTCTGATCCTTGGTGGCAGCTGTTGATGAAGAGCTGGTGAGAGATGCTTGGGCTGTGAGCCCAGGAGGCAGGTGGCCTTCACTCTCCTCTCCTTCCCTGGCTCCATTTGGTCCCGGGAGCAGCAATGGTCCCAGATAGAACTGTCAGGTAGATGAGATGTGTCTGCAGTGGTCTCCTGATTGCCACCACATAACTCAGAAGTGTCATGACCCCATGCTGCCTGGACCCTCTCTCTGGACTCTTACTTCTGTAGCCTCCCTACTAAATTTCCTACTTGATCACAAGCATTTAGGACCCTGCTCTGAGATGTGTCTTAAAGAAATAGCTGTTAACCTTTTGTTATGATATCCCAGAGTCCTAGGGGCATCACATCGTAATCCAAAGGCATAATTCATTCCAATCCATTGCAATGTATATGCAACGAAAGAACAATCATAGTGCTCCTAGACTGGGCATGGACAAGCCGAAGAGATGAGCATAGGCACAGAGAGAAAGTTGGAGCAGTACCTCAGCAGTCCTAAACCCACAGATCATGGCTCAGTTCCACCCAGGGGGAGAGTTGGCATGCTTTTTTCCAGTGCTCTTGCTTAGGGCTTCTAAACAAAACCGTGTGAATCACTCTGGGGCATAGTGAGCAAGTGTCATTGGTTTCCAGAGCTTGCTGGGCTTTTACTCATTTCAGAAGAATCTGTCCACCCTAAGACTGCTTTATACTCTTTGCTTCCTGGGTTTTTCATTTCTAGGGAGCAAGACTCCATAGGGTCTGTGGGCTTTGGGAGGAAGATTATCAGTAGGATCATCTTTAATAAGAAAGTGCTCTCTACCTCCTGACTGGGGCACACAAAGTCATAAAGATATATACTACACCATATTATAAAGGGGTAAAAGGCTAATGCTGGGAATTTTTCTTGCCTTGGATCCATGATTTCCTGAACTCTGGTCCACATTAGACTTTGCAGCATTCTTCGAGTTGAGAGGCACACTAGAAAGAAGCCAAGCTTTGGCACAGTCTTGATTCAGCATAGAGCAAAACTGTGCAGCCCCAAGCGGATCATTATACATCTCTGAGTTTTTTATCTTTTTCTTTAGTCAAAAAAAGGAGAGTGAACTAAATTAGGGTTCCCTGAAGTTTGATTTTTAGAATATTAGTCCTGGAAGGCTGTGAGGAAGGCAGATTCAGTCCTATGGTCTCCCTTCTTAGAGATTCATGATCCACATTAGCTTATTAAAAGTTCTGAGGGCTGGAGATGTGGCTCAAGTGGTAGCACGCTCGCCTGGCACGCGTGGGGCACTGGGTTCGACTCTCAGCACCACATAAAAATAAAATAAAGATATTGTTTCCACCCAAAAACTAAACATATATATATATAAAGTTCTGAGTTCTACTAAAGACACCTACTTAAGGCGGTTTAACGTGGAATTTCCTAAATTTAGTGATGGTAAACTCTTTCCTTTTTAAACACCTGTTTTCAGAAAGGGGAGCTGGGATTGCTCAGAGCCTACTCTGGAAAATGCAAATGAGACCATCACTAATGCTTTGTGGTTGTTCATCTTTTGGAGGAATATATGAAATTTCTAGCAGCCCACAGCCATCAGTCAGTGCCCTCTTTAGTGCCACACACTCGTGGCTGGGCCCATCCAGCCTTCAGAACTTGTTTACAGCTCATGGGTTGCAACCCAGGGCCATGTCAGCTATCCAGAGCTCAGGCTCTGTTTCCCAGAGGTTCCTGGGGAAGTCTCCCAGCAGAGACTTCTGCCTGGAGAGGAAGTCCACAGACCATTCCCTTCACCCTCCCAGCCCTCGTGCTAACCCTGCATTCCAAGACCAGAGCCCCATGCCAGTTTCTGCTCACAGAATAATTGAGCAAGAAACTCTTTCAATTGCTGCCGGCAGTTTATTTTAGGTGCAACCAAAACCAAATCGTTCCCTCTGCAGTAATACGCCAGAATTCATGCATTGCTTAAGATTTATAATGTGCTTCTCATAGAGGGAATGAAGCCCATTCTCTAGAGTTTCAGTTGGTGATTGAAAGGTCAATACCATAGGAGTCTATGGAGAGAGCAAAATTTTTCCTACTTATTCTTAACATGCTCCTAATCACATTGGGCCTCTGCTGATGGGAATGATGATCTCCCTGCTCTATTTCTCTGCATTCCTTTTGAGGTCTAATGATCAATGGGCATGAAAACATTTTGTAACCTCCAAGTGCCATGCCATGGGCCCACATTATAGGAATATAAATTAAACACCAACCACTGGGAAAAGAGTCAGGAAAACAAACAATTTAAATAGGAGTGAGCATGACAGAGACGTGAATCTTCTCTTCCCTCAGCTAGCCCTCGCTCCCACTTGCCTCTTATAATGTGAGCATCTCATTTTATTGAGAGTCTCGCGTTGGATTTTCCTACATCATGGCCGTAATGCAAGCCAACTACTTCATCTGCTCCACAAACGGGAGGAAACCATGCCTAGGTTGGGTTTCTCCGAGGGCCATGTGCTGATCTCCATTGAGGCATCTTTCTGAGGAGTTAAGGGTAATGCCAACTGTATGTCACACGTGCTGCTGGTAAGCCTGACTCTCATGCAAGAAGTGCCTCCTTGGTACAGGCGTGGGGCGCAACCTTACTAAATGTCCCAGCCAGGTTCTCCATGGTGGCTCCCAGAAGGGTGAGCAAGGATCCATACTGAGAGGGGATTGCAGAAAGAAGGACAAAGCTCTGAGCTATCAGCCTTCCATTGGGGGACATTCATTCACAGGCGGTGCAGCTCCCTGACCCCCACTGGCTCCCTTTCTTGCTGGCAGCCGCTCCACCCCCTCCCCCTTGCCATTGACCATGGCGGCGCGCCTGCGGTTGTAGCACCAGGCACGCAGCCTGTTTGCAGACTCAGCCGCTCCCCCTCTCATTCATGCTGCAGCTCATTCACTCTGCTGGCTCTGGCAGTCTGTGGCTGGGTGCCGTCACTCGCAAGCACTCCGTGTGGCAATTTATTTCTGGCCGGGTGTGCGTGTGTATGGGGGAGAGGGAGAGAGGGAGGCATTCTCCTTTTAGAGGGGGGTGTTTTTCCCTTTCAACCAGTATCGCTCCCAGGCCTTGTAGTAATCATGGCTATGGACCGAGCACTGGGTGGGGCACTGTGCTAGGCACTTTCCACGCACAATCGTGTTTCATGTCTCACTGCTATTAAAACACCTTGTCATAGTCGAGCCATCAATGAATAGAAATGTTCAGAAAGAAATGCCCCAAATCCAACAGACAGTTAGTGACAGAGCTGGACTGGGAGTTCCAGTCCCTCAAACTCCTACACCAGTTCTCTTGTCACTATACCTTGTAACCTGTTGACTCTTTCCTGTTTTCTCTTTGTGGGAATGACACTCATCTCCACCTTCCTCTTTGTGATGCTGTCAGGCAACCATCCAACACCTGAATGATCCACGCCCCCTCTCCCCAACACACGGCTGGCTTGGGTGGTCTGAGAAGGCTGAGTTCCTGGGCGCTCAGCTTTCTCATATTGAGGCTGGAAGAACCGCATCTATTACTGGAGCCTCCTCTGGTAGCAGCTTAAATCTTTTCTGATTCTGACCTCAGGCTTTCCCCAAAGTTTTGCCCCATCTTTCTAAAGAGTATTCTTGAACCCCCCACCCACTCATAGCTATCTGTAGCAACATGGAAAGGTCACTGAATTTACCAGAATATCTGGGTTCAAAGTAGTGCTACCACCATCAAATAAGTACCACCAGTCTGCAGCTTTGCAACCCCAGGCAAACCATTTAACTCCTTTGAGCCTCAGTGGTCTCATCTATACCAACGGGGTAACAATACATACCCCATGACCCCTCTGAGGGATTGTCCTTAAGAAGATAAATTAAAAGCATATCATAAACTGTGAAGTATGGTCCCCATATCAGGTATTACTAAGCAGTTTGTGTTGTGGCCTGTTTCAGATGTGAGTCTCATCTTTGGCCCTGGTTAAGCTCAGGTCTCAGTAGGAAAGACAGAGGCCAGGGTCTGTCTCTGGCTTCTGATCTGGAAAAGATCATCTCCTTACCCAAGTCGAAACCTGCTTGACTCTCTTGACCCTTCCCAGAGATTTTCCTCATGATCAGTGTATCTGGTTCCAGAGCAAGAGACTGGCCAGGCGCACACCGCAGCCAGACCAGCGCCAGTCCTGGCAGCCACCTCCGGAAACCTCAGGGTTAATGTTTGTGCGTCAAAGTTACGTGGAGAGAAGGGGCCACGGTGCGGATGGGGGTGGCGGTGGGTGGTGAATCCAGACCTCCTTTTAACAGCTTTACAGGAGAACTAAACTAGGGAAGTTTAAAGACTCCAGGGAGGTGGACATGCCCCTGGGGAAGGTGAAGGAGCTATCTTGTGACTGACAGCTACAGCATGCCCAGGTTCTGCATCTAAAGGCAGCAGCAGGGGACCGGGAGCCTGAAGCCAGTGCATGGAGGGTCCGGAGGCCTGATCCTGATCCTCTTCCCTGGGGTTTGCAGAGCCATGGACTGTTTACAAATCCCTTTTATGCCCACTGGTTCTCCTTACCCTCCCCAAACCCCAGAGAGGTGGGCGGAGCGGACATTTTCCCATATAACAGTTGGGGTCAGAGGGGTTAAGAGATGAAGGGGGAGCTGGAGGGAGGGGCTGCTAGGGGGCTGGAGGTCCTGACACTCTGCAGATGGACAGGGCCCCTCCCGGGTCGGAGTCAGAGGCATGGACAGATATTTTGCTCCCCTTTCCCTGCCCAGAAGTATAAATGCTTCCCATGGAGCCAGCCCAGGAGTGATGGTCAGATGGCTCCCCAGAGAAGTCCCACTCAGAGACCCTCATTCACACTTGCTTTCCACAGCAGCTACAACTTACCCTTGAGACCACAAGATTCAGAGAAGACTGGGACTGGGGCTCAAATGAATGCCCAAGTCGCTCACAGAAGTGGCTCTTCAAACCCACTCTCCAGGCACTGCGTGCCTCCCACTGGGCGAGGAAACCCCCCAAAGCAAGAAAAGAAGCAGGTTCATCTTACCCAGGGACACGGAAGAACGGTCGGTGCTCTAGGCGCTCCCACTCCTGCTCCTACAGGTCTGTGAGGATTAGCTGCTCCAGTGCTTTAACAATAAACCCAATTAAAGGGGAGGAATGCAGGGGTTTTCTTTCCCAGGACCGTAACCAGGCAGCCTTAAAGGGGAGTAAAAGTAGCTAGGGTGGCTTGCATCTCCCCTTCTCTTTCCTCTGCTCTGCTTTCCCTCCCTCCCAGTGAGCTGTATCAGAAAAAGGTTTGCTGGAATGAGCCCTTTTATGCCCGAGGTGTGCGCGTGTGTGCGTGCGTGCGTTTGGTGTGTGTGTAATTGTGTTTGCATTGATGCGTGTCATAGAAAGAGAGAAAGGAAGACAAAAAAAAAAAAAAAAACAATAAAGCACCAAGTTATAGCTTTTTGCTGGCCTGAATGGGAAGATAACAGCAAGTCAGAGATGCTTTCTAGGTCTGTATGCCTCAGTTTCCCCCTTTAACCACTCAGTTGCTGGAGTATGTTATCGGAACACCCTCTCCACCCCTTTACTAGCTTACACATTGGCTGACATGTGGAGACTGACGACCACTCAGTGTCGACTTGCCTCTTACAGGATGGGGAAGGGAGCCCTTGGGTGTCCCACTGGAAGCTCCTAAATGGGGTGGTTTCACCTAACATCTCTTCTTTCTTCCAGCAGCACATTCTGATCCCAACCCTACCATCCTGTCCTCAGCCCCGATCCACTGGACCCAGGAGACAAGTCCTCTCCTCTGGGGGTTCCCTGCTCCCCCTTTTCCCTTGTCCTCATCTCTCTGTCCTGCCCCTTGATCAGGACTTGACAGTCTCTACGTAAGCTCTCTACAGCTGCCTCTTCAGTTAGGTCCTTAAACTTCTGTCTTATGCTCTCTTGATTTCTCTTTCTTTTTTCTTTCTCTTATTATTATTATTTGTTCTACTTAATTGTACAAGACAACAGAATGCATTTCAATTCATCATATACAATGGAGCGCAACATTTCAATTCTCTGGTTGTACACGGTATAGAGATGCACCACTCATGCAATCATACATGTGCTTTCTCTTTCTTTAATCTCCTCTTCATGTTCCCCACTCACAGGCTTGTAACCAACTTCATGGGAAACTCAGAGATCAACACCCCATCTGGGTATTCATCCTTAATCCCAACATCCAATTGTCCACTTTTATAAATAAATAAGCTTGAAGATGTTGTAGCCACCTTCCAACCCACTCTCCTTCTGGGGTCCTCCCAGCAAAGCCAGTGGGTCCCCATCTCCCCCAGTGCTAAAGTCTGATACCCTGTTGATTTTTTTTGTCTGCATTGTCTCCTTGATTGTCTTCCAAATCATATCAACTCTATGCTCTTTTATTTGTTCCTTTGAATTAACTTTTAAATTATGCCTTCTATTTTATATCATCTGTTTTTTCAGATAAATGACACATTCACATGAGTCAACAATAAGAACCATATTAAAGGCATACATGAGGTGTATCACCCCATTCCACATCTGGCCCTTGTCCTTGATCTTGACACTTATACCAGCTTCTTGTATATCTTTCTGGTATTTCTTCATGTGAATGCAAGGAGATGAGAATATTTCTCCATTTCTTACATACAAGGCAGTGGGGAGATACTGCCTTTTATAATAACATCTCTCCAATGGTATTTCATTGTGATAGGCAAGGCTCTCACTGGGTACTGGGTGTGGTGCTGCAGTAGGAGAGTTAAAACTGGCTCTGAAGAAAAATTCTAGGTTGGACTCCTGGGTCTTCGGGATTGGATGTAGAGCTCTGGATAAGTGACTTAAGTTCTCTTTGCCTCAGTGTTCTCATCTGAAAAATGGGGCATTACTGAACTAATTTCATATACTAGTAGGCTGAAGTGAGACAGGATACAAGTTATTTACAGCCTTCACTGGCACATGGTAAGCACTCAATAAGTGATAGCTATGATTATCTCTCTGCTATGGTGGAACATTTGGGTCCCCTCAAATTCATGTGTTGAAACAAGGTGATGATATTGGGAATGGGACCTATGGGAGGTGATTAAATCATGAGGGTGGGCCCCTCATAAAAGGGATTAGTGCCTTTATAAAAGGGGCCCTGGGAGCTGCCTTGCCTCTTCTACCATGTAAGTGGGGACTTCATTAGGCATTGAATCTGCTAGTGCCTTGAACTTGGACTTCTCAGCTTCCAGAACTGTGAGAAACTTAATAAACCACTATTTCTGTGGTTTATTCAGCTTCCTAGTTTATGGTATTATGGCAGCCCAAACCAACTAGATACTTTCTAATCCAACTTTGATTCTGGTAGAATTACCCCAATGAAACATGTTGCTTCTACCTTAAAAATTACCTAGAGAATAATATTCAAGCTCCTTAGCCAATCATAAAAGGCATCCCAAGTTCTGGCACAAAACGGCCCCTCTCCCCAGTGTCTCTTCCTTCTACCCGTCTGACGCTCAGCCACAGTATATGAGACACCAGCTACAGAGCTCTGGGCCTTTGCTTATCCTGATTTATGGTTATCAACTGCCCTTTCCTGTATCTCTGCCCTTGGAAATGTTAGAATCAAAAATCACCAAGAAACACCTCTTCTTCCAGGAAGCCAGGATTTCCCCATCACCACAGAACTAATCACTTCTTTCTCTGGGCTCTAACCCAAATTCTTTGTCTATGACTCTCCTTAGTTCTACATCTTTTTCTGCCTTGAAATCTAGTTTGTGTCTACTTCTATTTCTCTTCTTGAGTTCAGAGTTCGTTAAGGGCAGGAATTTTGGCTTGATTTCTGTCCCCTTTTTCTCTCTCTCTAATCTTTCTACAGTGCCTAGCTTGATAAAGCTAGGTGACTGGACCTTATAGGTTCTTCGTCCCTCAGAGGTGGAAACCCCTTGAAGAGTCATTAAAAGTTAAGTAAAATATGATTTGCTAGTGAGTGGTGCACATAATAAGTACTTGATAAATGCTAACTCATACATATTGATAATGAGAACTATAGCATATTATTACTATTGTTTAACATCCCACTTACTACTTAGATTCTCTGGGTAGAGTATCCCTGACTAGTCATTAGCCTCCTCCTGTTTGAAATCCTGGAGCAGAGGAGTTAATCACAGCCTGAGACAGCAAGTAACGCCATGGGCATCAACTCATGTTAGAAAGTTTATCTCCATGGGAGCTCAATTCTGCCTCTCTGAAGTCTCTCCAGCACACATACACATACAATCATTCCTTAAAATATTCATCAAGTGCTGACTGGGTACTAGGCACTGGGGATATGAAACCCTACCTTCATAGAATTCTACTGTTCAAGTGCGTGAATCAGTGAGTTCTGGACTTTGTAAAAGCTGAATCAGGCAAGGAACCGCCTGCTATCGCCAGCTCATCAGAACCTTCTTCTTTCTTCCCTTTCTCTCCAATCCACCAGTATACTATAGGTCATGGTGAGACACAGACCATCTTCTAGGTTCAGAAGATATCTGGGGCCAGATGGAAAAGCATTGCCTCTTTATTCTGGGGTCAGAAGCTAGGTCTCCCTGCAAACACTGGCTGGGCCACATGCCAATCATGAGAGGTCAGGGTGGGGGCCGAGCATTCCTTGCTCAAGTATTGGCACAGGTGACTGGAGAAATGAAGTGGCATTCAGTAATGTTTCTCCAGGATGTGAAAGAGAGCTTTGGGAATTAAAGAAAGCACATGGACATGGATGCACACATTTAAACACACTTATACACATGCACAGTTGTGTTTGCAGGTTTTGGCTAATTCAGATTAATTTGATGGCCTTTTTTCCCACATTTCCCCCAATCAGCAATTTCACCAAATATTTATTAAACACCAACTCTGTGCCCAGGGGAGAAGTGATGACTAAAACATGGAAAATAATTGGAGATTAATCAATAATGAAATAAGGTACTAGTGACTCATGTTGTACCCAGAAATGGGGACCTGGGGAGATTACCATGGACTGGAGACATCAGGAATGATTATATAAAAAAGATAAAAGTTAATCTGAAGCTCAGGGATGAGTAGGACTAGGTTTGGGAAGTGTCAGTGGTGGGTGGGGTGAGATTGGGAAAAATACAGAGGGTGGACTCCACAAAAACCTGAGCTGGAAATGAGACAGCAGCCTTGCAGTGTTATGGGAGATAAGGCTGAATGGGTGGGGAGACAGAAGTCTGGGTGAGGGCTTTGAATTTGGCTGGAAAGGAAGCAGAGAGTCAGTGTAGCCCTGTTAGCAAGGAACTCAAATCAATGGCAGTATGCCTGTGGTTGGAGAAATTTGAGACTGGAAAGTCAATAGGGAGGTTTTTTTAGGTCCCTACAACCTGAGGCGATGTGGGGATGAAGTAAGGTGGTAATAGGAGAGAAGAAGAGAAAGGCATGATCCAAAGGAGGCACCAGTGTGTGGTATGAGCATCCTCCCCTCACCCAGAACAACTGGTGGTTCTGAGCTTAACAAGCCGTTTGATTGACAGGTGATGCTTCTGGTCCTCAGCAGAGGTTGCAAGAACTGAACAAAACTGAAGAATGTAGGTTTTCTGGTGTGTCCTGTGTTTGATACGATGAGTCACAAAAGCAGGGTGGGGCTCAGGGTTTAAGGAGTACATGGGCTTACTGTGGGCTGCCCTAACGGACACAGAATTCACAAGAACATACAAAGCAGCCCATTCCTTCTAGACCATGTTGCATCTTTCAATTTCTTTAGAATCTGCAGAGCACTGGGTGTTGAGTGAATGTGCAGGGTTTCTGGCTGTGTCTTAGCAGGAAATTGTCAGCCCCGTCTACACGCACTTTTCTCTTCTCCTCTGTCCCATGGCCTCTTCTCCCCATGTGTGTTTCCCCTAGAATTTTCCATCCTCCTCCTCAGCCTCTGCCAAGTTTCATCAAACATTCAGCTGTATTCAGCTCTGCCTTGGGGGAGGCAGGGTAGGGATGGTGGCATCTGGTAGGTGGAATGTCTCCAAGGTAAGTA